GCCAACTCCCTGCTAATCGCCTTAAAGTATTAAAAATTATTAGTTAATGTGCAGAAATATTTATTGCTCACTAAATTGATGATCATAAAAATGTAAATATTGGCATAAGCTCATAAAGAGGCTGTAAAATGTCTGCCTGTTACTTTTGCTAATAAGGGAAAGAGGAAATATAATAATGAATAAATAAACTAACTAATGTATTTATTGGTTGAAAACATGTTTTGATTAGTGTTATCGAACATAAAGTAAATCAAATATACATTCGAATATAAAAATACGAAATATAAATATTATTCTTTTTTTTTCTTTTGAACTATTATTATTATTATCATACAAATTTACTATATTACAAATATTTTGTTTATATTTCTTAGGTTTATATAATATATTTAATTTTAATTTTATTTTTTATATTTTTGAAATAAGTTTCAACTAGATTTAGAAAATTTCCCGTTTTATTGCTCACATGCACTTAATGGCCTGCAGCAAATTGCCTTGGCACCACTGTGCACTGCCTGTTCCGTCATTTATGCACGACTGACTTTGTTTTCACATTCACACGGTACCCGAAGCCGCAGCCGCAGCCGCTGCCAGAGCCAGAGCCAGACTCAGAGCCAGAGCCAGGGCCCAGTAGTTGTTGCTGGTTTACTGCAGCTTGTCCAGCTGAAGCCGCTTGGGCGCAGTGACGTAGGCATTTCGATGGCTCTGCGCGCACTGGGGGCAGCAGCTGCACCTGTTCCATTGTGGCCCCTGTAAACTAAGACGCTGTGCATTTCCGTCCTGGCGCAGGCGGCGCACCGTTGCGAGTGTGGGAAAGGGCTTATAAGAATTTCACTTGGGTTGTTCGGGTTTTTGGGTTTTCGGGCACTATTGTTGTTGTTGCTGTTATTTTTGTTTCCTTTCTTGTGATTTTTTGGTGTTTTGTTGTTGCTGTTGCTGTTGCCGTTGCCGTTGCTGTTGCTGTTTATGTTGTTGTTGGGAGCAGCTGTTATTGCTACTTGTTCGCCTGTTTGTTGTCATTTATAATCAAGGCTCCGAGCCCCGGCGCTGATAAGTTCATTTTACGTTCGTCGATCCTAGCCAAGGGGATTATGACATGTTGTTCACACGCTCCACACAAAGGCAGATCTAATGAGGCCGTGACCTGATTTCACATACAGACAGACATACGGACAGACAGACAGACATACAGCAGTCCTTTGGCTCTTTCCCACACAACGGCTAGTCTCGACAAACTAGTCGGCCCAGTCCGATCGCAAACAGAGCCTGGCCAGCTCTCTGGCTGCCTGGCCGGGGGCCGAATGCAACAAACTCGTGCCAATCGCGTGTACACCGCACGCCTGCAGCTTGTGAGCCACCGTCTCCATCGCTTTGGCCGCCATTAATCTTGAACTCGACGCTGGCGACGACGACGACGACGACGATGGCATCGTTGCCCCGCACATTTGCCCCCAATCAGCGCCTAGCTTTGAACTGCACGTTTGCTAAATTGAAAGCGACTTTAACTCCAGCTCCAGCTCCAACTCCAACTCCGACTATGGCTATGACTGCAACTACAACTACAACCGCAACTAAGATGCTGCCAGCTTCAATTCCAACTGCACCTCCGAACGAGCTGCGCATGCGCCTGCCTTAACGCCTTATTGCTGGTTGGGAGAGTCGAACGCCAAGCTGCTGTCTTTGCTATACACTTACTTTGGCCATAACACTTCCCCATGAATTAATTTAATTTGCCCAACAGAAATACATTTGTATTAAACGACTGAAAGCGAAACTAATGGAAATATATTTATTTAAAATAATAAAACAATATCTACAATATCCTCATGAAGATTAAATGGAAGTTTAAGGCAATTTTACTCCTAACTCAATAAAGCTTCATGGTTTTCTCAATTTCGTTGTGGGTTGTCGAAGCTTTTCTTTCTCAATAGTTTCAATTTGACTAAAAGCTTTCTGGCGAAAAATAATATCACCTAAAATTATATTGAATAGTTTGTAAATAGTGTTGTAAATGATGTTAAGTTTCTAGAAAGAAAATAGATAACGATTTTTCAGTTCATTTATACGTGCTCTATTCCTCGCTCTATGTAGGACTGATAAGACAGCTTTCTTAGAATTTACGATCAATTTTTTCGAGGAATGGTACTTAGCTATAAAAACAATAGTTAGAAACTTTGGCGAGCTATAGAGGGAATATTACTGAGATAGAAATTTACTAATGGGAACAGCCAACTAATGTTGTGATGTTATGTTAACTAACAGATGTTACTTAACTGATGTCCACTAATTTGGGCAGAGTATTTTGACTTCGATTTAAGGTTGCTGCAATTTCTGCTTCTTTTTTAGCCACAAGCATCCATTTGGCTTTTGGCTTTTGGTTCACACGGCAGGCGACCAAACGGGCAGTGAGGCAGCGAGGCAACGAGTTTTGCGCAAAAGTTGGCGCAGAGCTTAAAAAAATATATACATATATACATGTGTGTATATATATGACAAGCAATTAGTGTGCATTGAGGTTAGTTGAAAATGGTTTTTGGCTGTGGCTTGTGGCTGCTGTGATTCGCTGTTGCTGTCCGAGTGCATGTGTGTGAGTATTTGTGTGTGTGCGTGTGTGTGTACAGTTGTATATCTATGCTTTTGCATGCGCCTTGCAATTGGATGCAACTGCGTTACTCATACGACACGTGTGACAACAAAGTCGAAAGTTAAGTCCGCTTGTAAGCTGAAGCTCTTGTTATTGTTGTAATTGTGATTGCTGTAGCCGTTATTATTGTTGCCACTGTTCGAAGTCAGCGGAAAAAAAGGCCAAGCCAGCAACCCAGCAAGCAACGGCTAACGGAAGTCATGGCCAAAAGACAAACAAACAAACCAGAGATTCTGCAGCATCATGGGAACTGCTTGGACCGGCAAAAAAAATATAAAATAAAAAATAAGAAGAGAAAAAAAAGCACAAGTGTCATATTGCTGTGCTGGTGATAAATAAAAAACAGGCAACATTTTATACACATAGTGTGTGTATGTGTGTGCCCCTTAAGAGCTGGCAGCTGCCCAGCTGTCCAGTAGCTGTAGCCGAGATCAGCGAAAAGATGAAATAAAACATCATCTTAGAACGACAACCGGATGTTGAAGTTTATTGCGCTGAACGTTGACGGCGACAACATTTAGCTATGCAAAAGTATTTCGGCTACTCCCGAGAAGCTGTAAGAGCTGTAAAAGCTGGCGACGATGACGACGTCGACGACGACTGCTGGGGACGGCTACGCTAAATCGATACGCTTCAACGAAATGCTAGCCACTTAATGTTGCTGTTATAGTTTTGTAGTCGTAGTTGTCGCAGTCATCATCATCAGCCAAGCATGCGACATAATTGCGCGAGTTAAAGCCCCCCAAACAAGCGACAACAACAACAATAACAACAGCCGCAGTAACAGCAATCATCAGCAACAGCAGCAGCAGCAGCAGCAGCAGCAACAACAACAACAACAACAAGCAGCAAAACATTTCAGCAATCCATCGGATCGCATCACAATCCAGCCATCCGTCCAACGTGTGGGAAACACACGACAAATCTGTTTCCCACGGTCTCGTAAAGTAGGCACAACACAACACACACTCATAGTAGGCTCCCATTTGTGCATATGCATGTCTCTATATGCGTGTGTGTGTGTGAGTGAGAGCACCAAAGAGCCAAAGAGCCACAGACGACGACGAATAGGAGCCGCCGTTGAAGCAGCAGCGCAACTGTCATCATTGACAATAAGTATGACATGGACGATGGCAACAGCGACGGCGACGACGACGACCGTGGCAGCGGCAGCAGCAGCAACTAGCAGCGACGGCACACTGAGAGCCACGCGCAGAGCCATTCTCACTCCAAATCCGAAATCCGAAAGCCACGACTGCGACGCGACGCCTCGCTCGGCAATCAATTTTCGAAGACGACGCGCGCCAGAGCGCAACAGGGCACGCTCTCTCGCTCACGCTCAGCCAATGCAGCAGATCAACAGTGCTTTGCCGAGTCGCTCTGCTTCGTAAACTGTCGCAATAATATGCCAAAGAGCGCACAGTGGGCCCATTGTAATTAATATTTATAAGTTATCAGACATGCAAAAAATTAAATTCAAACGTTTTGTTCAATTCGATAAACTTAGATTTGTAATCTAAATAACTGATAAATATATATATAATATTGTACACTAAAGCTTCTTAGACACTATATGTATTTATATTATTGGCAAAGCATGTATTGAAAAAATGTATGTAATATAATTATTGTTCAGATCATACTGTTTTATATATAATACAATATATAATATTTTTTTCTAAACATTTTTGAAAGGACATTCGCAGCATACTTTAAGGAACAGAAATTGAAGGAACAGAATTATTGAAACTAACTTTTTTGTAATACTGAATAAATAAATATTAAATACTTACCTTATATATTTTTGTTTTATAGATAAAAGTGATTAGCCTTCAACTCCTATCTATATTTGATATTAGATATTGCTGCTCTCAAAAGTAGGCAGTAGAAAATATTTGTGAAAATATATCATTTCTGGATTTTTCTATATTATGTAAAGAAGAGTGTCTCTGCTATGCATTCGTTTCAAAGAAAACTAATTAGATGCAAACTAAATAATTATAATATTGTTAAGGAAAGTGAAGTCAATATTTGTTTATTTCATTAGCTAGCCCACACAAATTAGTTCACCACCAAGCATCGAGCACTAGTTATTCAGTAGTGACCCACTGTGCAGTCGGTTGCCAGGCAGCTCGGCTACCCCAACCCCAACCTGTGCCTGCAACGGACTTCACAGTAGCCTCTCTTTGTGCGCGACGCCGAGTGCCGCTACCGAGCCGAGACCGAACGCGCACGAATGCCACCACAGCCCCGCGTGTGTGTGTGTGTGTGTGTGTGCGTATGAGCGATCATGCGGGAGCTGAGGCCCAGCCGCTGCGCTGGGAGAGCGTCGTATAAAAGTAAGGTTGGGAACTTGTTTGCCACTCATTTCATAAACGTGCCGCCTGTTGAACGGAACGCTGAGCGCGACGCACGCGCAACCGCCCCCAAAGAAGTGACGATATCGACGTGAATATGTGCGTCTAGTTCGGTGCGAGCCAAAAATCAAAATTTGAAATAAATAAACATAAAACTATAACAGAGAATAGTGAAACGTGACTCGAATCACAACATGGTCATGGAGATGTCCAAGACGTATCAGTACCGCAAGGTGATGAAGCCGCTGTTGGAGCGCAAGCGACGGGCGCGCATCAACAAGTGCCTGGACGATCTCAAGGACTTAATGGTGGAGTGCCTGCAGCAGGAGGGCGAGCATGTCACGCGCCTCGAGAAGGCCGACATACTCGAGCTAACGGTGGATCACATGCGCAAGCTGAAGCAACGCGGTGGCCTCACCCTGCACGCCGTCGGCAATGCTGCGACCGGTGGGAGCGGCGTGGCCGCCTCCAGCACCAGTGCCGCCCACGTCGAGTCCTTTCGCTCTGGCTATGTGCACGCCGCCGATCAGATTACACAAGTGCTGTTGCAGACGCAGCAAACCGATGAGATTGGCCGCAAGATTATGAAGTTTCTATCGACGCGCCTAATTGAGCTGCAGACTCAATTGCTACAACAGCAACAACAACAACAGCAGCAGCAGCAACAACAACAGCAATCTCTCTCTCATGCCACAGGACGCTTGGCCTTTCCGCTGCTGGGCGGGTACGGCGCCGCAGCCGCAGCCAGCTACAGCGCCTTCCTGGCGGGCAAGGACGAACTGATCGATGTGACATCCGTGGATGGCACAGCGCTATCCGAGACAGCGTCGATTAGCTCGCAGGAGTCGGGCGCCTCGGAACCCGTCTGGCGGCCCTGGTAATCAACTGGCTGCCTGCCTGGCGACATCATCTAATTTCTAGATCTTATCTTAAGTATTCCAAATGGCTATTAACCGTTCGCTGCAGCCATTATCAGCAGCAGCAACAACAGCAGCAAAATCTGTTGTCTTCCAAAGCAAATTGTGACGACGAGTCATTTCACTGATTTCGTTGCACTGTGCATTGTTTTTAAATACTTTTAAGTTTATTTTGATAATAACTGTAAATTGTTGCATTTCAACTGTGATATAACTAAAGTACGTGGCCTTTCAACTCACCTGGAATGCGCCAACATCCTAATAATCTTTGCTAAAGTTCCCTAGAGTTAAAAGTGTGCTTTGTTCATAAGTAAAGGCATCTTTAAAAAATATATACATATATATAACTACATTAAGCTTTAAATAATTTATAAATGTTAATTTAGAACTTATACATAAATAAACAAAAAGTTCTCATGTGAAAAAAGTCAACTATGTTTTTAGTTAAATAGAAGAGCTGCCAATTAACCGGATTGCGTGCTCCAATTGGATGCCAATTGGACGAGGTATACTTAACTGCAGCAGCCAAGTATTTCGCAATTTCATTTAACTTATGTGTATTTATGTGAAATGTTTGCATGGATTTCGATATATTATGAAATTTTATTTGAAGCAGAATACTAAATACTGGAACAAGATATAATAAATAATAGATTATATTGCCCCTGCTTTATACACATATAATCAGTCAAGATGAAGAGATGCCTACTACATTAATAATATTTTGACTGCTGGAGATTATAGCAAACAATTCTTATTTGGATATTTGAAGACATAAGGTTGATGAATGGAATACTACAGATAATATTCTATATTAAAAGGGAACATTAAGGGTACGCTATGCCGAAGAGACGCAGTGTAAGTATTCAATAGCCTAACTGTATACTAAAATTACTACCCAATCCCATATATTCTCACTACAAACTATTGCTCACTACAGCCCACCCACGCGGTTTGTTATTTAAGGCAATCAAAGTCATTTAATATCATCAAATATTCATTTATTGAAAGGTTTACAATGCAATGAGGCAAAGAGCAAAGACACTGCTCTCACATTCACATATCAAATTCAAGCAGGGCATCAAACCATAAATACTCTGTATTTTCTTGATGCCTATCTATTGACATTAAATATGCGCTGAGTGTGCATTCAATGAATTTTCAAGCATATCTTCACAAATCTCCACATATCTCCAGTGCTCTCATTTCAAATGTGATCTACTACCACACACAAGCACGCACACACAGCCACACTCACACACACACACACTTGCATGTGCTGACTTTTACTTTTATCAGTCGAACATCTCTTCACATTTCATGCAACAAGTACATCAGCATATTTGAAGTTGCCTTCACACAAGCAATTAAGAGCTTGTAGCTACTGTAAATAGATGCAGATACAGATACAGATACAAAACTGCATACATACAAACATATAGAGATAATATGAGTGTGGTTAAATATGGATACATACACACATAATATGAGTGTCTGAATCATTTATGTAATCAACTGTGCATCAGCGAAGATACGAGAGCATCTCTTCTTCGGCTGGAAATAATTAAATAACTGTCCAATCCAATTGGACCCCTTGCACGATCAACGATCCCTTGTCCATATTCTGATTGGCGACAGCAGGTAAATGCCAGAAACTGGTTAGACCTGCTGGCAGAGAAAACAACCCCTAAATTTGATGCTGTTGCATGCAATCTGATTTTTACCTGCATGCAGGTTAAGACATAAACAATAAGCCCGCCCTAATAGGGACACGGCAGGGATTGGGTTCAGGCTCAGGTAGACCCAAAGGCAAACAATCGATCGGTCACAGAGTGGATTAGCCAACTCAGGCTACTTAACAATGGTTTGCAGTTATGCAAAGGTTATTAAGTAGTTTTTTGTTTGCTGGGGATAGCTGAAAATTGAATGGCATTTAGGAATGAGAACAAACAGGAAGTTTTTCTTTTGAATTGTATATATATTTTGTTTTTTTTTTTTTTTTTGTTAAAGTATGAGTTAAAATTTATCACAATTTTGTAAAGCTCGATTGAGTGTTGCGCCTTGCTGTTAATTTTGATTTGTTGTGGATGCTCAAAATTAGCAGAAGACGCTTTAAAGCAGGAAGCTGGAGCCGCTGATCGCTGGTCCCAGAAGTGGAAGACATTGTTGCATGTGGGTGGATGACCAAACGTTGATTGCTTAGGCCTGCACCCAGCGATCCTGGAACTGTGCGACGGCGATTTCGTTGGCTGTGCTGCAGTAGAGTGGCTCGACGAGATCGTTGTCAGCGGGCAGATCGGAGGCGGCGGTCCAGAAGAAGGTGCCATGGGCGGTGCGCACAAAGTGAACTGGCACGGTGGGCAACTGCTCGAGCTCGTAGTCCTCCATTTCGCAGGAGGCGGAGAGACGCTCATTGGCCTCGTTCTCATAGGATTCCAGAGAGTCGGCGCAGGATTTGTTGACGATGGACTCGAGATCAGCATTGCGGCTGTTCTCCATGGACTCCAGAGATTCCAATGAGTTGGCCTTGTGTGTGTTTTGCATGTTCTGCTGCTCCTCGACTTGCTGCTGCTTGAAGATCTTTTGCAGCAGCTTCTTCACGCTGTAGGATTTCTTGTTGCTCTTGGCGTTCATGTTGTTGCTGATGATGTTCTTGTTCTGGCACATCTTGAATTTTGTTGTGTTTTGAGGTTGTTTAGCTGAGATGTTTACTGTACGAAGCGTAGTGCTCGAATGATGTCTGATCCTCTGAGCTGTCGGCCTTTTATACCCGCACAGGACCAAAAACGAAACCCAAGCCCCGACAGCAGGTCGGGACGACGAGGGTTGAAGCAGGCAGGCAGCCAGAAAGATACACCAGATACACTCGGCGAGTGTGGGAAAGTACAAGGATACGTGCACAGACAAAACACTGTAAACGAGAAAATCCTGAGCGCACCAACACACAGATGCACACACACATTCAAAAACGGCAGGTGTGTTTCGAAACGGACGGCTGGGACGGACCTGCACGCCATTAACCTGCATGCGCTGGAGTGTGAAGGCATGTCATGCTGCTCCGCTTCCACCTGCTGCTGGTGTATAGCAATTTTATCCTGCGCCAGGATCGTGAGAAGCGAGACTTTCTACCAGTTCCCACAGTTTTTCGAAGGATCCTTTTTCGAGCCTATTGAAAGCAACAACAACAACAGCAAACGAATCTTTTTGCTGATCACTTTTGGTTTTTATATGTTGTTATCGTTGCTGTTGTTGTTGTTGCTGCTGCTGCTGCTGGCAGCTCTTTATGCACTTATCTCGTTTTGGTTGGCATAGAAATCCCTTTTTTTCGGGTCTTGAACACGTGTGCATCGGTTGCCCCCGCAAACGTGGGAGAATATTTTCAATTTTCAACGCTCGAACGACTCGAACAATTAATGGCCTGACAGCAGAGGCCCAGATCAACTAGTTGAATAGGCAAACACATTGGACTCACTGAGATCTGGGATCATTTAATGCGCTGTAATTTGAAATTTATAAATTTTGTGTGTGCCTCGAGGCGTTGCCCGAAACGAGCAAGAAAAAAGGAGGATCACAAAAAAAAAGAAAAAAAAGGAAAAGGAGAAAAAAATTTAACCCAAAACGTGTCAGGCATTCGAAAGCCGAAGGAGTTGCTTTTAATTTCATTTCGATGGCACACAATTAGCAGACGACCCTGCGCTGCCCTGCCCCGTCTCTCAGTGCCTTATTAAGGGGCACTTTGTGTGCTTCCATGGAGCAGGAGCTGAGAGCGAGAGCTCGCTCGAGCGTTGTCCTTTTTGGACCTCGGCTCGGTCGCAAGTTGGACACGTGATGGCGCGTGAGGCGTCGACGTTGGCAGAGAACGAACCGTACCGGGGACGATCCTGTACTTAATGGATTGTCTTTGACTCGACTATAAATATTTGAAGCCCCTGAGCGTTGGGTTTCTTTTTTATGATCTTTATCTTTTTGGAGCTATAGTTTGTTTTAGTTTTTTTGTTTTTCCATTTTATTTTTTGTGCAGACAGAGAGACAAATTAAGATTCCAGCAGCGACTGAGCTGGTGAGAAGTTGTAGGCTGGCGTTAACAGTTCCAGTTCCCAAATGTGTTGGTACCTAGGGATTGCTGTGGTCCTATTGATGTGCTCCTTGCTCACAAGGCTCGCTTTGTTAGTTGAGCTGATTTGTGTGTGTTTTCTTATATTTATCGTGAGCTGAGCTCACCTATTGACGTTCAATTAGAAGTGAAGGCAACAATCTAAGCATTTGTTAGCACAGCCAAGCAGAGCCATAAATAGTCCACTGATAAGAAAGAAAGTGACAATTGGTGCTGTTTGTAGATTATTATTTATAGTAACTTTGCTTCTGCGACAGCTCTACCAAAGTGTGCACACTTTTTGTATAGGGAGCATAAACAAAAGATAGCTGCAGCTCCAGTAATTTATTCAAATGCGCTCCCTGATGATGTGTAATTTATACAAAAGGGTCTCAACATTTTTGGTAGCCATAAACAAAGTGTAAAAGAAACATGAATATTTATGTAAGCAATAAATATATTTAAATATATATATTA